TGAGAGTGGGAATTCCATTTTGTGTACCATAGGAATTGGTTAATCCCAATTGCCAATAGTTACCTTTAACTGTACCAGTATAGCTATCTAATCCATGAATTGTAGCATTCTGCAAGTTATTCATGGTTGAGCTGCATTCCCCACAGTCATATGGTAGGTAAAGGAACCTGCTATTTAGATAACAGTACCATCCTATACACTTTGGTATATCAGCTAGTATGACACTTGACACCTAATGAGGTGGCAAAATTTGATTCAGATGTGTTTGTTTGCATGGCTTATCAAAATCTATTTGCATGTGTTCAACGTTTTCACATAAATAGCTTTTCCAAGATGCTTACTAGAATGAAAATTGGACTCCTTCAACACCTACTTTGTTTGAACATTTCCTATTTTTGTTCACTTAGATGACACTAGCTGTTTTTTATTTTACAATTCATGATGCTTTCATGAGAGATTAAAAGTGTAGGTGTCATAACTGGGGATCTAAGCAGTAAAAGAAGAGAATATTTATCTGAAAAGTGCAGAAGAGATGCTTAATACAATTTCAGAAGACCCAGGTGCCAGTCTAGTGATATTTCAGCATATAAGTTTATGGAATCCTCTTCTGCCAGTTGCAGAACCAATGATCATACTGTAATTCTGACTAAGAACTAAAACTTGATTGACAGGAACTATTATATTTACTATAGGATCTACAATGCTAAAGCACATTCAGACTGTAAAAATTTTGGATCCTAGTCTAGTAGGAGCAAAGGAGCAGTGAGTCTAGCCAGGGGGAAGGTCTAGGGAATCACTGGGATAGGGTCCAAGAGGTCAGCAGTGCACAAGCAAAAGAAGTGAAATGCTGCAAGAAGGAAGGTGGGTGGCAGGATCATCAATAGAGACAGCAAAGTTGAAAAAGCTCATCATGAAAGTTATTACCACCCTACAGAGGACAAAACCGCCATTGCAGAAATTGTGACACCAATGAACTTGGCTCTAAATATTCTGAAAGACAAAAGTCAAGAAGTGTTTGTTTCCCTCTGAAATAATCTTTATGGAAAGCTGCATATAAAATAGTAACTTTACTTAAAGCACAATTAGTTATACCTGTGAAATCAAAGAAATGACATTTGAAATTCGAGCAACCTCTGTTATAAATTGAAGGTTAAAATTTAAACACACTCTTCATAATCTGTGATGACAAAAGGAAGTAACCTGTGGCTAGTGCAAACTTCCCATAAGTTGTATATTGCTAAAGACACAACTGAAAGCAAACAAATAAAAAGCAATAAAGAAGTTTTAAAGAAGCAGGTTTACAAATGAGAAGTGACAAGCACATGGAGTAAGTAAGTAAAAGCACAATAAAAACATTTGGTTTAGTCACAAGTGTACTTGTTTCGAAGTCAGAACTTTGGCGGGGGGGACAGTTGCCCATGGATGTTCATTTTTCTCCCATTTGCCCACTATCAGTTTCACAATAATGTGGGATCATTCAGATACTAATTAGAAATACTGCATGTCTTGTTTAAACAGAAGAATAAGTACAGTCCATTACTTCCACAAAAGTACAATCAAACCTTGTGTTTCGTTGTTAAAAAGTACTCACCCTGATGTGCATATTGTTTTAGTTGGGGGCATCTGTAGCAAACTTAAGTGAGACATTGTATAGATAGAACAATGTGTTCTTCAGTCTCTGTTGATTAGTCCACAGGCTGAGTAGCCATCTATTAACACTAAAAACAGTAAGCAAAAAAATAATTAATAGATATGTAATACAAGGGAAAAGTTTGAATACCTGCAGTAATGATTCAGAAAGATGAAATTACAATTGCTAATGCATGGAGCAAAAGAAAATTAATCAAGTATAGACATGACTTTAAAAGAATCAGGTTAAGTCGTATAGATACATCAAATCTGATTGCACAGATGCTGTAGTTTTGCTTTGGAAACAATGAGATAAATCTGATTATTCCTGAAAAGTGCAGATCTACCTAGACTGCATCAACTGTTCATCTGGCCTCACCAGGTGTTGCTTATGATCACTAAAAATCACATTAACTGGAGCAACAAGAATATAATTAAAAACCCTCTTGAGGATAGCCCGTCCTCACATAGATTTTCTGAAATAAACGTGTTCAAAGAGAATCTAAGATGCATTTATATTTAACAGAGAAAGACTCAGAGCAAAACCAGTTGCGTACAAAGTAGACTCATCTTTAAAAAATGTTGATTGCTGCTTAAAATGAAGAACGGACTTCAAAGAATTGGTGGCATACCTTTTGATCCCCAAGTCTGGAGGACATTGGCAACACTGAGTGGATCTTGAACATGAGCCACTGACATGTCCTTGCTCCAAAGGCAGCTAATGATATCCTGGGCTGCCTTAGCAGAAGTATAGCCAGCAGGCCAAGGGAGGTGATCAGCAGTGGTCTCTAACCTTGTATATATTCTAAAGCTGTCTGGACATGGTCCTGGGCAACCAACACTAGGTGGTCCTGCTTGAGCAGGAGGAGTTGGACAAGATGACCTCCAGAGGTGCCTTCTAACCTCAACCATTCTGTGATAAATATTAAAAAAACACAAAATGCTTTCTTCAGACAAAATACAAGGGAGGATAAGAGTCCTGTTGAAATCACCCTGAGACCATTTGTGTCTGCTACTGATGGAATGAGTCTCATTGAAATAATGAATGGTCTTCATAGGCAGTGCAAAATGTTCTTCGCCATTGACATTGCATAAAGCTATAGAAACCTACAGAACAAATACAGTATTTAATGATTCATATCAGTAAAACTTGTAAGTTTTGCAGCCCGAATTCTCCTTCTCTGTGTCCTACAAGGCCCTGAACACCAGTCCCAGGAATGCACCCTCACTACGCAGTTCCCACATTCACATTCTTGTTTTCTCAATTCCCATTTGCTGCAGAGAGCAGGGTTGATTCCTAATCTACAAAGCAAAAAGTCTAATATAAATTGCCACATAAAAGAATTCCATAAAGTCCGCTTCACTCACAAGTGTAAATATCAAAATCCAAAGCTAATTTAGAAATCCTCCAAGCAAAAATGATTTACCCTGCCATTAGTATGTACTTTTATGTTTCCTGATGTAGATGTATTAAACTTCTTGTAAGAGCTTTAAGTGTCTCTTACCATCGATAATATCTGTGAGACTGTAAAGCCTCTTTTCTTAATGCTTATCTGTCATCATAGAAATAATTTCCAAATCCTGGTATAGAATTTTAAGGCAAATAATTACAACTTGGTTGTTAAATCAAAACATCTCAATTATTTGGGTACTGATTTACTGTAACAGATTTGTCTTTACAATAAATGGATAAAATGAAATACAGCAGTCAGGTTCTGAAGAGTCAGATACGTACAATATTACTGGTTAGCCAGTATCTTGAAAGATAACTATTTAAAATCTTTTTGCCTGGTTTTAAATGCTATAAAATGTTAAAATTGAGTTCCCAGGTGATATATGTCACATCTTTACATGCTTCACCATTGCTGAAATTTTCAGTTACATGTTAGCACACTACGTATTTGTATCTCTCAGTAAAACTCATTGTTGGATTCTTACAGGGGGATCCAGGAGAAAAAGGCCCCCCAGGTCCTCCTGGAGCTGTTGAAACTCCGCTGCTTCCTATAAAAGGTTGTAGGCTAGTTTTAACTAATCTTTCTGCTGTATAAAATGGCTAGGACCTATTTTGCTAAGGTGTTTGAAAGTGATCCTAAAACATTATCTTCTTAGTTGTCATGTTCTGTGTCTGTGTCTCACTGATCTTACTGGATCTATGTTAAACATACAAGTTTCAGATTAGTTTGCTGAAAGATCTTTATGCATACAGTCACAGCTAGATCTGCAGGACTATCGCCAGTTACAATATCTAATCATATTTAAGAAAAAGCTACGAAAAATAAGCCTATGCTGGATAATGGACGGCAAACAAGAAAACTGACTTTTCTATTGTAGTTTAGAATTCTAATTTTTGAATTGTCACGACATACAGATTTTAGACTACATTTAAGCTTTCTGTTCCTTAGGGAATGGTAAAATCCTGGAACTAGTACTCCCAACTGAATCACATGTTAATCTTACTACCTTCCCACCTAAATCTCAGGTTGGGTTTTTATGTCCCAGCTCCCTTATTTCCCACCTTTACAACCTAATTGGTGAAAAGGTGTTTGGAAGTTCCTATTTCATAGCAGTAGGCAGTGGGGAACAGCCAAGCCTGCTGCCTAGAAGGGATTATTTTTTTTGCATCTCACACTCAGAGAACCTGTACTGTAAGAACATTTTAACAGAGAACTTACCATAAATTATATTTCTAGTGAAGCAAATACTGATCATGAACACAAAAATTAGTTACCACTCCACCTCAGTTCAGCAGAACCTCCCCATTACATAAAGACCTAATCCAAAAATTAATTAAATTTGTCTTCCATCGGTTCCTGTGGGTTTCCAGCCCATGAAACAAACCCCATGCTTAATATTTCAAGTAACATTTAATTATTTGCATTATGTGTGAGTGGATGCATTCTTCAGAGGAGGAGGCCTTTAGCACAGTCGTTTGAGAACAGAACTGCTACCAGTATTTTGTTTTTCCACGTTAAGGAAGCTCTTTATATCTGATTAGGGTTTTCTTTATCACTATGTAATTGCAATTTTTAAATTTATTCCTTATATCAATTTTGAAAATACACTTTTTAAAATTTGGATAATTTCAGCTGGGGTGATCCTGAAATCACCTCCCTGTGTGCACTGCAGAACATGAGATGTGCATTTACTTTAAATGCTGTACGTCTTTCTTTTGTGAAAATACTTCTCTCAGCATTCTGAAATACGTAGCACAAAGATACTACTGCAGAGTGATGAATAGTTAAAACCATGCCCACAAAATAGGAGGGAATCCGTAGAAAAATAACCAAATCCTCCCACCTTAAAATTAAATTGTTACACATTTTAAAATATTTCATAAAGACAAAAGTTACTGTACCATACTTCTGTGTAGTTCCCAAGTTATAATTTTGTTTGCAGTTTTATTTAGGTTTTATCTGTCACTTGCATAAAATGTTCAGTTCTCATGTTTTTATAATTCTGTGCAGGTCCACAAGGAGATCCTGGATTTCCGGGTCCTGCTGGTGATATAGGGTCAGTTGGACCAATTGGGCCTGCAGGCCTGCTGGGAAGACCAGGACATGATGGAACAAGTAGGAGAAGTAGAGGATAAAATGTGAACTATATACCTGTAGTAGAGAAAGCAACTAAAAGCAGCTAAAAAGAAACTGTTCTTTATTATTACGTGATGTAAATCACCAACATTAAAGATTTGAGCTCTACAGAGTTCAAGAAAAATTCTAGCTCATTATTTAGTGGCCAAAAAAGAAACAAAGTGTTCCAAACAGAACATTAGGAATTACTAGAAAAGGAACAGAAGATAACACAGGATGCTGCCATGAACTGTAAATGCATGGCATGCCTATATCTGGAGTGCTGTGCTTAGAAATTCTATTCTCCATCTCAAAAAGATACAAGGGAAGGTGATGACAATGACTTTGCTCTGTATAAGGCACTACAATAACTTGGATGTCTGGAAAAGAGATAATGGAGAGAAAGAAAAGCATTTGAAGGTCTACAGCAGGAGGCTCTTTTCCTGGGAATCCTGAAAAACCTAAAGATTTATTTTATTTTTTTTTAATACATAGAATCTATTCTTCATGACAGTTCTGAACAGCCTGTAATTTCCTCCTTAATATCTTGAGGTAACAGTTAACATGGAAGTGTGTGGGCCATATACCATTATTTTTTTATAGGTCTGCCTGGCCTGCCAGGAGTAAGTGGGGCACCAGGACCTCAAGGTTTTCAAGGTGACCCTGGTTCTCCTGGAACAGGTGAATCAATCCCAGGAAGATCTGGATTTCCTGGACCACCAGGCCTACCAGGACAGCCAGGAAGACAAGGCTTACCTGGACCACCTGGTAGGTTCAACAGCAATTTATATGGGAAGAATATCATTCTGCATATTAACAGATTAATTGCTTTTGTTGGTCCTACAAAAAACATAAAGGTGAAATTTTGACAGATACATCAAACTTAACATGTGATGTAGAAAATATGATTTTCCTATTAGTTTTTGATCAGTGAGATTTCAAGGTTTTGTGCATGATTTAAACCCACAAAGTAACATATGTATAAAAAAATCCCTAAAAATATATCACCCGAAGTTAAAACCACAGCAAACTGGGGAGGAAACCCAAATCTGCATTTTTTAGTAAAGGAACAGGAGTCAAAGTTCTAAAGAAGAAAAGGGATGAAGTAGTGGCAATGAAAAAACAGCTCTAGCCAGATTAACTCTTATAGTACGATCTACGAGCAGTGATTTGTAAAGCATTTCATAAGATCCTCTACCTTTTCATGTGAGGATAACAAGAGACGGAAATGGAGAACACATGACCTAAGCTGTGGAAACAGTCAACCTGATTTATACTAGCTTTACAATTTATTTTTTCAAAGGTGTAATCTGTACTGAGAGAGGAATCCCTGGAGAACCTGGAACAAAAGGTCAGATGGGCCTTCCAGGAAGAAAAGGGGAAAAAGGAGAAAAGGGTAAGTAAGGCTGGAGAGCAACAATTTGAGACCTTTGCCAGGTATATCAGACCTGCATTTGCAAGAAGTTTATGTTAACTTGATGGGTAAAGCCCATCAAAATGTAGAATTAAATGGCCTGTTGGCACTGGGGCTTCTAAGTCAATGGAGTCATGTCAGTGCAGCAGCTGTTCAGCACTGTAAAAAAAGACTGATATGCTTCACTCCTTTGAAGGCCGTAATGAGAAAATGATCTGTGCACTACTCACACAAAATAAAAGGTCACTATTATTTTTTTTTGTGCATTAATTTTGCAACTGTTTCAATGTAATTTTGGTACTTCCATGTAGGAAATCGAGGCCTCTGCTCATGCAGAGCTGGTCCTCCTGGTCCACGTGGTGTGCAAGGACTTCCAGGTACTCAAGGAAGGAAAGGACATATGGGATACCCTGGAAGAGATGGAGAAAAGGGTGACCCAGGCTTATCTGGTGCAATGGGGTCACCAGGGCTCCCTGTGAGTAGTTTTCATAAGCTTCAGTAAATAAATAACATCAAGTTACCACTTACACAGAAGGCATTTAATCGGAGTGGTGGAGGAACTGCCCTGGAAAACTATCTGAAAGTTTTATCTATGTTTGTTTATCACAGGCATGCTGAAGGATACATTTTATTAGCATCTATCTAATTTCCCTTGTAGCAGTGAGCAGTTTTACACTGAGGGACAGAATCTCATGCTCTGTTTGTGGGGTAGTGAGGAGGCTTAGGAAAGCTGGTGAATGTCCATCTTGTTTTGTTTTGACTTGTTTTTCTTTTACTTTTGAATACCCATTGTTTTTCTTAAAAACACAGAAGATGCACAGATTGCTCCAGTGAAGATGATTTTTCAGTTATTTCAAAGGAAAGCATTTCCAGCAAAACTTAAGGCAAAGAATTTGCATGATGCCAGCAGGTCAAGACGGATTTTATGTTAATATCCACTGGGGGGTGTGCAGGGTCTGAAGAAAAAGGAACCCTTTTTTCAAGCATTTCAAGTCATTTATTAGTTCCCTTTTTTAGAACTTAATGGAAAAGCTTAATTTATTTGATGTGCTTGATTTATTTTATAAGGCAGAGCATCTACAAGTACGATAGGTAAACCGCACTCTGCTTGGAGAACTGAGAGCACAAATCAGCATAAACACCTAGAAAAGAACTTCTTTTCCCCTCTAAACCTGTCAAGTCATAGATGCCTCCATGAATTTTTTTATTGGCAGCTCTGCAGGCTTTCTTTCAGCACAAAAACAACACTTACCTGTTTAATTCTGAGAGGACAGCCTCATCTGTCAGTCACCATGCTCCAAAGATTAGCTTTCGTGTAGCCTTGGTGGACTGTGGGTTGAGGTCTGCAGTGGGAAGAATTTATGAACCATTTGTAACTTAGTATTTTTGCATTTAAAACCACAGCTGTATATGGCCGTGGACGCAATTATTCTAGCATCACAATTTCTTATAGTTGTGCATTTGGTAGAGTCAGGCTGAAAAGGCCAGAGGACATTCACACACCTATTTACAGATGTCAAAAGAGATAAGCATTTCTTTTTGGCAAATTACTGTATTTGGTCTGGAAAAACAATGCATGCATATGAAATAGATCTCTATTTTTCCTCTCAATCCCCACATTGATTCCTTGCTGGAGATAACTGGCAATTTTATGTTGTCAATTGTAAGGGGACGCCTGGTTCTGCTGGACAACATGGTGAAAAAGGAGAGAAGGGTGATCCAGGAAGAGTTAGAATAAAAGGTAAACTCACATTTTTTCATTGGCATTTCTGTTTCCTATACAATGCCTAGGCAATAGTGTGAGAAAACCATATTTACCTACTCTAATATAAAGTCATTAGTTTAGTAAGTTACTGAAGCCTAGAGATCATGCATATGTAAACTTCTTGCTTAGTAACATCTTGTTCGTTTTCTTCTTGCTAAACAGAAGATCAACAGTGTTTTGTATTTTTTATTCTACAGTTGAGCCGTAAAACAGGCTTAACAGTTTGTAATTAATGCTAACGAATGACTTTACATGTCATGTGATTGATAATCAGAGTCTTACAGAGGTCTGTATAGCAAAGACTTAGCAGAATACAAGTACTGTGAAAGCAAAAGAAATATTATTGTACAGCAGCCGCTTCCTGAAGTGTCATATGCCAGTATCCTAACTGTTACCTCAACTTAAACCACCAGCATCCTCCTTGGGAAAAACTCAAAGTCTCAATGGCTATTCAGATTCCTGCTCCTAATTCTAAAAATTGCCCTTGACCAGGCATTGAAGAGAAACAATAGGCCACCAGTTGCACAACTGAAATTCTTGAATTAAACAGATCAAAACCTCTCCACAGTTATGGTTATGATTTGCAAAAGAAACAGAGAACAACAAACTACAACAATCTGATGGCAAAGCTTAGTTAGAAATGCCAAACTCATTCTAAAGACAAAAGATTGTCCATCTTATTGTTCATGAAAAGTTAGCTTAGCTTTCGATGCCCACATTTGTTTACAGATGTTGGAGCAGGGCAAAACATTTGCTGTTTATTTGCAAAGCATTTTTTGACACAGCAAAACGAGCCTTTGGGTTAGAATATTTTTATTTCCCTTTTTGCAAAAATTACATTTTCATAAATATCAGTGCAAGAGAAACCTAGGGGTAAATAAAAAAAAAACGAACAACCCATGTGGGAATATTGATTCAAATATTTTGCATCATAGACATTGCTATATAAAACTGACTGATTTCAGTAACAAAATATTTTCACTTTGTATATAGCATGAACAAAGCCACAATCTTTTGATGTCTGCAAACAAGTCTTTACAGAAAGAGCTGTTGTTCCATGAAGTATCCAGCTACATACTGCCTTCCTAACCCTAAACCATCTCATTAAGGAAGTGTGATTTCAAGAACTGGAAATTGTCATGCAGATGTGATGAATGGTTACCCATTTACCTGAGCAGAATTACCTTCCCCCCCAACTTACTGCAATTATTATATTATACCACTTTTTCTTTTCTTTTTTTTTTTTTTAAAATTATTTAAAGGAACAAAGGGTGACAGAGGTCCTACTGGGGTTCCAGGACTTCCAGGTCAAAGAGGCAATGATGGCAGAGATGGGGAACTAGGATTGCCTGGAGAAAAAGGAGCTAAGGTATGTTTGCCTTGCTCAGATTTTTATTTTCATTTCAGTTAACATATTTTATGAAAGGGCTAGCTACTTAATGAGAAGTACCATTTTATTCCAAATTCCCAGCACATTAATTACTTTTATCATTATACATTAGCCTAGACCAAAAATCATGGTTTGCATCAGTTGAAAATTTCCTTGGAAGTATGACTGTTTATTTTGGTATTCCTGAATGTAATTTTTGCATACTCTGTGCCAGTATTATGGGATCAGGAAGAACTAAAAACCCAAAATACTCTACCCTTTGTTCCTGTTGCCTCTGAATATTTAAAACTACTAATGTCATCCACATTGTCATTTAATTGGGGAAGACTAGTTTCTCCAGGTTATTGTCTAACATGGCTTTTGGTAATCAAAGAGAGAAAGGAAATTAGGTCTTGTTATCTTCTTATCAACAATTTCTTTCTTTAAGGGTGATTCTGGAGTACCACTACCAGGTGATAAAGGATTCCCTGGGGTCCCAGGCCTTCCTGGGTTAAAAGGGCAAATGGGATTGCCTGGATTGGGGTTTCCTGGCCCTCCAGGAGTCAGAGGAAGCCATGGAGACTTTGGTGATACTGGTAATATTGGGCCACCTGGTCCAAAGGGCCAGAAAGGTAATTTGAATGTTTACATTAAGAACAAAATAACAAAACACATGCTTGGTAACATCCATTACAGTTTCATACGTATTCTATACAGTGTTATTCATAGTTAAAATCAATTTTGGCAAGCTCAGTGGTCGTGTGAAATATGGCCACTGAAAGGTACAATGTTGTCAGCATTTAGCAACAGACACTAGTGAGAAAATGAATTGCTAGAGGCCTTAATCCTGCAAAGTGCCACTTTCAGAGTACACACTATCAGAGGACATATTTTCTGGAATGAAGAGTATTCCTGGGTGTAAGGATTTGCAAGACAATGCTTTTTTGCTGAAGGAGCAGGAAATACAGCTCACACTTGGGGCTTGGGCTGTTTGGTTTGGTTTAATCCCCACCAAAATAAAAAATAAATCTATACAGATAGCAATACATATGAACCAGAAACGTACATAGCAATGAGATGAAAATATTTCTTTCTTGCAACAGACATTATCCTGAAGACAAATTTCTGTGACAAGTAAAGAAAATCTTCATCTTTACAAAATACAACAGTATTTGAATCGTTACCAATATTCTATCCAAAATAAGTGTAAAAAATATATTTTAAGATCCTCCATCAAACCTTAAGTAATGTGCAAATAACAATGTGCATAAACAGTCCCTTCTCTGTGCCTTTGCACATCTAGTTGGTTACTTCTACAGAACTATTACAGTAAATGGTCAGACTCCATTTATTCTAACACCAAGTACACCACTTTCTTTCTCCCTCTTGCTTCAGGTGAGACTGTCTGCATTACATTACCATACCCTGGAAATCCAGGTCCCCCAGGTTTTAAAGGCATTCAAGGTATGTTTACAGATAGAATTTTGGGGTTTAAGTAAAATAGAGGTTTAAGTTGCTAATTAAAAAAGAAGTTAGCCTAAAAAGATACACTGTTCTAGTTTTTCAACAGATACATATCTCAAAATGTAAAACTACAAATACACAGGAATATACTCATCTAATAGACTCAAGGGCCAGACCACTGCAGCTTGCATGATCAAAAGGTGTGCAGGCTGCCTCCATAGAAGTGATTAAATGAAGTCAGTTGAAACTCTGTCCTGCCTCAACTAAAATGCATGAGACAGTTTGTAAAATACACAGATAGCTGAGTCAGATAAGACCTAGAGTATATACATCTGGATACCAGGGGAAAAAAGGGTGTGCACGGCAAAGATATGCTGCAAGTCTGTAATTTCTAAAACCATACTGCTTATGGCAAGTTACAATTGAGCCCTAAAATGTGAATACTTATTACTGTTACTTTGTCTTGTTCAGCTTAATTTGAATTCAAAGAACTCATCCAGGAACTGGCAAAATGTTGCTTGTGATCACCTCCAAAACATTTGAAATACCCCTGAAAATCCTGATCAGAATAAATGGAGTCCGATACTGGATTTTCAAGATGCTTAGTATGGTATTACACAGGTCCCTGACATCAGTATTGTGGGTGGTAGCCAAAACTCATAGAGACATGAAAGAACAGGGATTAGCATATTGAGCTCATCTGCACCATTCCAGAAGCAGAATATAGCACGGGAGAATATAAGAATTTGAGCTGACATCTGTCATTCACTAGGTTAATATTGTTGATGTCCTGTAACATTAAAATGTTATAGGAGATATGTTTTTTTCTAACTTACCCTGGCGATTTGCAGTCTGCTGTTTATGGATTAGGGAACAAGTCCATTTAGAAAAAGAGCAATCACGCGTTGGGTTGTGACTTTGGTGGTGGTTCTTGCCCAAAATATTTAGAAGTAGATGAAATCCAATTGTCTTCAAAGTAGATGAATTTGCATGGGATAAAATGCAATACTGTTTCCTTAGGTCACACATTTTAGAGCTCTGCCAGTTTTAACATTTTTCTTTCTGTTTCCAGGACCAAAGGGTTTAAAAGGACTTCCTGGACATCCTGGACCAAATGGCTTTGATGGGCAAAAAGGTCATCGAGGCAGGCCAGGAGCAGGAATCCCTGGGCCAGAAGGTGAATTGTGCTTTTTTTAAATCCAGGAGACCTGCTGGTCCAGCTGTAATGCATACGTGCAGGGTAAGGTAGCTACCATGCTAGAATAGATTAGGAAGCACCTTTCAGTGAAAGCTAATGGGAGAGAAATCTTTACCATCTTCCCTTTCTTTCCTCCAACAATGCAGGTGCTAGGATAACTTAAAGTTCAGTGTCCAGAGAGGAACCAACAAACAAAACTTCTGAATTATGCCCTATTTGAATTTAAAAATTGTATCAACAGGCTTTCGAGGCAAAGCTGGTGATCCTGGTGATGAAGGTGAAAGAGGATCTACAGTCGATGGTAAAAATGGCCCTCCAGGTCCACGTGGCATAGATGGTCAGAAAGGTGTTGCAGGTGATACCACATATGGTCCTCCAGGAATCCCAGGCAACAGGGGACTGCCAGGACCCCCTGGTGCACAAGGAGCAAGGGGTGATCCAGGCATTTCTGGACTTCAAGGTATGAGCCAGTTTTTATAAAACATTTCCATGTGTTCAAAGGAGAAAATTGCGCAAAGTTGGTCCTGACTCAGATAAAACTATCTCTCACCTGGATCCGTAACGGTGACTGTGATTGGTACACCCTGTTTTTCATTTACATTTTTACAGTTAAAGTTGATCAGCCACTAAGGAGATCTGCACTGCAGGAGGGGGAAGATACTTTTACCCAGTCCATCCAAGAGTAACGCTGCAGCTTCCTATTCTTACTACTGTTACTTGCTGCCTAGTGGCCCTGTGTGCTTAGGGCCTCCTACTACACCACACAGGCAATCCCTACATCAGATTGTTTACTCAGATCTGAAAGGACTATCAAAAGGTGGAAGAACACTCACGGAGTGCAAGATTAATTTCTTTGCCTGGAGTTATTCAATATAATCCTCAGTATCTTGTGCGCTACACTGGTCTTGCTACAGATGTCTCCGGGGTGCCACTTCCTGCTTCATAGCAGATACTGTTGGTTCCTTTTACAGTCTTCCTTTTCCCCAGCCCTAAGCAGACGCACACCCTCTTCTGTGTAGGAAACACCTATAGAACTGACCCCAGGGCTACATAGCTCACGCAGGCTAGTGAGCTCCTTCTGTTATGCACCTACACATCAGAAACTTGCTCACTGATCCATAAAGTCATCCTTACCTATAGATGAGAGTTGAATTTGTATTCAACTTAAAGAACAAAGCTCTCCACAATTCTAAATTGCAGAAAAGCAGCAGTTTTCACAAGCTATGAAAAAGTAGAGGATAAGTAAGATATTACAATGGCTGAACATGCAAGTTTAAAAAGAACAATTAGGAATTCTGATGGATGGTAATGGAAGTAAAATATTTCACAATGTTTTTTGTTTCCAGGACAGCCTGGTACCCCAGGGTTTCCAGGTGCCAAAGGTTTTAGAGGCCCAGAAGGTGATATAGGAGCACCAGGTTGCCCAGGATTCCCTGGTCCACCATGTGACACGGGCTTACCAGGGCCACCAGGACTCAGAGGTGTCATGGGCCTGCCAGGACCTCAAGGTACAAACAACATCCACCAGGTTGCCTCACTGCTCTAAACTTTGCATACATTTTCTAGCAGATTTAATCACATGATTTTTGTGGCTGGCATGACAAATATTTCCATGGGGGCTGCTCATTAGTGGGGGTGTATACTAATGTTTGACACATTTGCTTAAACTCAAGGAATGTATAGTGTGCATCTCAGGTATTTCCCAACTTTACTTCCCTTTCCTTACTGTTCCTTAACTGGCCAAATCATAATGTGTTCACTGTTAAGTAATAAATGGAAGAGTTATCACTTATTCTGTTGTCCTGAGTAACTTAACTGAGCTCCTTGTCATAACTGTGATACTTTTGTCTTCCTTATTCTTAAATGAAAGTGTTCTTTAGGGAGAGATAGGGGATATATATATCAAAAGTACTTACAAATTAGTAGGGATTTTTCACAGGGAGCTTCTACTCATGTCTCTCATTAAAGAAATTCAAGCAAACAAACATTCCAGGTTAAGAATCTAGACAAACCCAGGACTCCAGCAGTAAAGTTTCCAAGTTATTTTGCTGTGTTTGTTGATAGTCAAATTTATATCAAAATCTATCACTTTCCACTTTTTAGATACAATTGCTGAACCCTTTTCTTGCATTTACATGCATTGATTAAAGCTCTTTTTCTTAGGCTTACCAGGCTTTAAAGGTCAGAGGGGAGACAGGGGCCTAGCTGGGCCACCTGGCATCAAAGGTCTCAAGGGCTCTCCTGGCTCACAAGGTCCCCCAGGTCCTCCAGGTTCCCGAGGACTTCCAGGACTTCCAGGCAATAAAGGACCACCTGGTTTTCCAGGACAAACAGGTATGTTAGACATCCTGCAAAACACTTTATCTATAACTTCTCTTGTAGAGGTAACTATTTCTACTGCTGTTAAAGCTAGGAAGTACTTTGCACCCTCCTCTCTTTCCAGCTTCGAGAATAAGACCCTGCAGCAGGGTAGAGGCAATAACAATAGCATCCTTTGTTCTTTCTCTTACAATAAAAACGAAGGAAACAGTTTCATGCATCTTGGTGCATCCTGGTGCTTTAGTCGTTTTACAGCCAGTCACAAGTGATGGTCCCCAGGGCCTGGTTCTGTTTAATATCTTTATCAATGATCTGGATGAGGGAATCAAGCGCATCCTATGTTTGCAGATGACACCAAGTTGAGTGGGAGTGTTGACCTGCTTGAGGGTAGGCAGGCTCTGCAGAGGGAGTTGGACAGTGAATTGACGGGACAGGGCTAATTGTAGGAGGTTCAAGAAGGCTCAGTGGTGGGTCCTGCACTTGGGTCACACAACTCCATGCAACATTACAGGCTTGGGGAAGAGTGGCTGGAAAGCTGCCAGGTGAAAAAGGACCTAAGGGTGTTGGTTGACAGCCGGCTGAACATGAGCCAGCTCGTGCCCAAGTGGCCAAGGCAGCCAACAACATCCTGGCCTGTATCAGCAATAGTATGGCCAGCAGGACCAGGGCAGTGATCATCCCCCTGTACTGGGCACTGGTGAGGCCGCAGCTCAAATCCTGTGTTCAGTTCTGAGCCCCTCACTACAAGAAAGATATTGAGTTGCTGGAGCATGTCCAAAGAAGGGCAATGAAGCTGGTGAGGGGTCTAGAGCACAAATCTTAGGAGGAGCAGCTGAGGGAACTGGGGTTGCTTAGTTTGGAGAAAAGGATGCTCAGGAGAGACCTTATATTGTTCTCTACAACTACCTGAGAGGAGGTTGTAGCAAGGTAGGTGTTGGCCTCTTCACCCAAGCAACAAGCGACAGGACAAGAGGAAACAGCCTTAAGTTGTGCCAGAGGAGGTTAGATTGGATATTAGGAAAAGTCTATTCACTGAAAGGGTTGTCAAGCGTTGAACCAGGCTGCTCAGGGAAGCAGTGGAGTCACCATCCCTGGGGGTATTTAAAATATGTGCAGATGTGGCACTAGTTCAGTGGTAGAGTTGGCAGTGCTAGGTTAATGGTTGGACTCAATGATCTTAAAGGTCTTTTCCAACCTAAATGACTCTATGATTCTATGAGTAAGTGGAGAAATAGCTTCACATTATGTGTAATACTTATAAAAAAATATGAGCTCGGTGCCAAAATCATCACTGGCTAGTGTGCAAAATTTCTGAGTAACTATAACAAAATCCTGGTTTTGTCTGTCATCTGGACCTAGAAGTCTTGATTTCCACTAGCCACATGCAAAATCTGGTGGTGTCTTAGACTATGCATTGTATTTAAGATGTTGGGAATAACTGCTTTAGTAGTAAATGTAGCCTAAACCTTTAAGGGGATTTTACAGGGAGGGAGAAGATGTTTGCTTCAAGGCAGTCTGGATTTCAAGACAAGTTTGATCTTAGAATAAATCCATGCTCCAACTATTGGTTCTCTAGCTTTTCTGATTTCTTAAGGAGCCCTTCACTTTATACTCTTCCTTAGAATATGACAGCAACAGCGTATCAGACTGAATATGTAAATAAAGCATTTAATATTACCAGGAAGCAAAGGGATTCAAGGACCCCAAGGATTCCCAGGACTCCCAGGAACACAAGGCCCAATAGGACTCTCTGGTGTTAAAGGAGAAGAAGGAGAAATGGGTCCACCTGGGCCTAGTGGAGAATGTGGGGATATGGGAATAAAAGGTTTGTAAAAATCCACTTCACACTATAGTTACGATACTGCGATGTTTAGTTTTGTTCCTACTGTGTTAGGAATATATTTACTTTTTCTTCTTGCTATAAAGGTATATTCACTTGTATTTTCAGAGATACTAAATATTAAATCCAGTTAATATCACAAATGCATAATGAAATACAACTAAAGAAAAATTAATTTCACTGAGATCAGTAGGTGCATTTACCACTAAATTAAAGAGTTAATCACCTATTCAAACGAACCTTGAGATTTGTCCTGCACACATCTGAAACTTTAGATTTTTTTTTCAAGTTTTCTATCATATTGTCTGTGTTCTTTAACCTCTCTAAATATTAATGTGGGAAAGAGAATAACCATCTCCAAGGTGCAATCACAGACAGTACCCTGTGGAATGGACAATACAATTGCCAACTTTCATATTCCAGACAAGCAGGGAATAATTCTGATTTAACATCACCTTGTAACTACTGAATAAACTAAAAAGCAAGAGAAGTGTAATAAATTCTCTTAGTAGTGACCCTGCTGAAACAACTGAGAACTGCATTAGTATTTGAAGGCTCTCTCTGTTAGGGAAGTTGACACTAAAATTAATTTTCAGGACATGTCACTCATGAGGATTTACTTTCATTCCATGTGTTTGGTTCAAAGGTGAAAGAGGGCCTCCAGGAGACAGTGGCTGTGTTAACATCCATCTTGAGAAAGGACAAAAGGGGGAACCGGGGTTTCCTGGTGAGGATGGATTTAGAGGCGAAAGAGGTGAGTTCATAAAATTAAAGGCCAACCTTATATTGTTTAAAGATACTTAAACCAACAGTCTAGTTTCTTTGGACATTTACCAAGGCAATACACACAGTGTGAAAACATAACCATATGTGCCAAATAGTAAGTGTCAAATAATGGCTTGACTGTATTGGTCATTATCTTGTTCTGCAATTAACTTCAGGTGAAAAAGGCAATACCGGTTTCAGAGGCACCCCAGGATTTCCAGGGAAGAATGGTGTCCCAGGACTGCCAGGTGACCATGGTGACACTGGACTGATGGGGTTTCCAGGATCTCAGGGTTTCCCAGGACCAAAGGGCTTTAAAGGAATTATAGGTTTTCAAGGACAACCAGGTGACCAGGTAAACAAAGTAATAGTGAAGTGTCCTGGACTTTTCAGCTATATCCTGCCTCCAAGAAATATGATGAAGGGTACTTCTATTGTGCTTACCCATTAGATGTTCCTCCTGAGAAGAGACTGTCAGTATAATAGGAAAGGTAAATTCCTTAATGCAATAATTCAATGACCTGAATACATTTTAGTCAATGTCAACAAAGGGCCTCTCCCCTCTTTCCTAGCTACATGCTGTGATTTTGTTATATTGCCACTTGGAAGTCCAGGCTTCACTGCACAAGTTGCAGGGGCGGGGGGTCGGAGGGAAAAATGTATGTACAATCAAGTCTTTAACAACTTTCCTACAAACAGATTAAGAGATCACAATCATAATGTAGTAGCAGCACAGGTATGAATAGCTGCTTCTTCATATCTTGCTATGCGAAGCAGCCAAGCCAACAGACAAGAGAAAACAAGTCTTCTGTGCCCATGCTGACAATTTGCACCAAATAGAATCCAGGCAAGCAGTATTGCTTAATTATACAAAACCACACATATATCACACATGGATGTAAAGTAAAATAGTAAAATTCTTTACTGGCTTCTATGCTAGGTGGACAGGCAGAGATTACATGAAACATAAAGCACTGTTGTTTTTCTGGTAAAGGGCTATTGCTTGGCTTGGCTTTTATTTTTCTTCGAAGAGATAATCTGTGTTTTGCTGATTATAGGTCATTATTCAAAAGGAAAAAAATTTTTACTGTTACATCACAACATATTTCTGGTTAATGTTTATAGTAAATTTGGGTAACATACAGCATTTGATACATTTTTATGGTACCTTTTAAATCAAATTACTCAAGCCATCTGTGGGGAATTTAAGCTACTCAAGCCAAGAGTTATCATAAACTATAAAAGCACAAATTCCAAATGATTAGCAAGTCTAATCTACAGTTTCTTGGAAGTCTTAATGGTCAGTGTTAGACATGAAAAAAGACAGCATGATTCTTTTCTGTTGCGCTTAAGGTATAGTTTTGCTATTCATATTAATTGCTGATCTGTTTACCTGTGTAAGAGAACCAAATGTGCCTTATAGATCATTCCTGCTACACTTACATCAAACGTTTTTATTTTGTATTTAAAAAAAAATCAGGGTGACCTTGGCTTACCAGGAATCCCTGGCAATCCAGGACTGACTGGCCCAAAAGGATCCAAAGGTAATTTATATAGACATGCTTTGGAAAAGAGCAATATTGTCAGGATGCATATGCTCTGACAGATTATGGCGAGTACTCACTAGGAAAGGGAAAACAGGACAGAAGGGAAAAAATTAAAACATGAAGGTCAAGTCTGATTTACCCGAGACAAAAAAAAAATAAAGAACGATACTCAATATAAGGAGAACTTGTATGAAATGCATTGAAAACAAATTACTGGAAAATTCATCCTTAAAGCAAAAGCAGAAAATAGCCAGTAAAGGTGGGCATTGCTATGGCAGGAGATTTCTAGCAACGCTCAAACTTGGTATTTCCTCTTAACTGTTCACAACAAAATCAGACAATGAAGCTGGAGGCAGCATGAATAGGTAGGAGAGGTCAGACATTTGTAGGGACATTGCAAAGCAGAACTGATCAGAATTATTGATTGTGTGATAAACAGGAATTTCAGCACAGACAGAAAGAAGGAGGTGTGCTGTCTTTCAGTCCCCAGCTAGTCCCTGAAAGGTCTTTATTGAGTAAATAGACTCACAATGTATTGATTTTGCACATCCTCACAAACCTATGTAAGGAGATCTCTGCTTAATAAAGTGTTCTGGGGAATTTATGCAGTATCTTTCTTTTTCAGTATATGCTGTCAGTATTGGGAAAGTTCCTGTAATTTTTGTTTTTCTTTTTTTCATTATGGGAAATTTTCATTAATGCTGCCCTGAGTCATACTAAACAGAAACTGAGTTAGTACTTCAAGACAAGCTGAGACGGCAGATAATTTACATGTGCCAAAGTGTTTTTCATTCTCTATTCTCTTAGTCCCTTTTACAGGTGTTAATGTCTATGAGTAAATTATCTGATCTTACAAAATTGTCCAGCTTTGATTTTGTGGATGAAAAGGATACTTGCATGAAATAAAAGTCATTGTACCTCTACAGGCAAGAGAGGTGACGCCACTCCTCTGCTTGGCACACATGGTCCACAGGGGCCTCCCGGAGATCCAGGATTACCAGGTACCTCTGTCTGACTGAAGAAAAAATTGGATTTAAGAACTTATTTTCTCTAAGTTTTGTTAGGGGAGGAGCTCCGTTTCCTGTGCTTATTGAGGGATATTTTCTGTAGTTATAAACCCAGGGATTGGAGAGGCATCACAATGTGCAATATGGCTAGCATGAAAAAGGGAGGTATAGTCTACTGTTGTCTAGTACAGCAGTGATGAACATACCAATACTTACCAGCATAAATCCTGGCTTAGCTATATCCTGCCAGTCATTTCTGCTTTTTCAGATATCACCAGAGAGATCAGTAAAATTCATCGCTGATAAGCAGATGCAAGTATTTGAATAAATGATGAAGTATTTGAATAAAATTCTTTTTCTAGACAAGAATCTTATGAACTTTTATATTTTTAAACTTATCATGAGATTAACAATGGGCAATTTTAAAGAAATAAATGCTAGATTATTTTTTTTCTTTAAGGTCTCTGTGGATTCCCAGGAGAGAAGGGTTCACCAGGTATCCAAGGGCAACCGGGAAGACCAGGATCCAAGGGTGAACCTGGACACCCAGGAATACCTGGACTTCCAGGTAATGCCAAAGTTTAAAAAACAGTAGCAGCTCAAGGGAGATACAGAACAGGAAAATGCAGCTGAGGAGGCACCTCTGTGGAGGAGGCTAGAGAAATCAGTATCATACAAAAGTGTATTGAAAGCTATTTCAGTACCTATAGACAGCAGCAATATTCTGCTCAGTCTCAGAGAGTAATATCTGTCAATTCTCCATACATTCCCACACACTTTCAGGTACTTCTGAATAACAGAATGTGCTGCATAGTACGTCAAAAAATAAGAATCAACAATTTAATAGATTTGCCTGTTCACAGATTTTATTTTATTTTTTCTTTACTCTCAGGAGCTACAGGTCCTCAGGGATTGCCAGGAGAACCTGGAGAAAAAGGGAAACATGGAATTTTGGGATCTCCAGGACTGCAAGGATTACCTGGATTCCAAGGCAGAAAAGGTAAACAGTATGCAGTGCAGTACTACTGGTAATATAAGAGCACCAGACATAAATACCCTTTTAGGAATGAAAATAGAAAAAGCCTGTGAGCCTGATTTTGATTCTGTGGTCTTTTAAGCTACAAGAATTAAGCCAGTTCCCATCACCTTTTAAAAGTAACATAAACACTACCTCAGAAACTTGGACCACAATCTAAAATAGGTATGGAAGAAGGTAGAAACAGATTCTGGCTCAGCTGATGTAACAGAGAGCAGAAGTTAAGTAAAGGAAAAGGAGTTTGCAGTAATTCAGATATGTCACTTCAATTATGCTGTGTTCTGCCTTCTCACCATGGAGTGCCACTGTTACTCTACCAGCAGACTGCGGTGGACGGTCCTGTGTTACAGATTTGTTTTAACAAATTACAATAACTTGGGTTGGTTGTTGTTTGTTTTGTTGTGGGGTTTTTTTGTTTTCTCCATCCCAGCCAAAACCAGAGTGTCTCCAAAACTTGATTTTTTGGAGGATTTAACATAGAAATATTTCCTCCAAATCCTGATTTACTCTTCTGACAGTGATTGTTATGATTAGATTGAACAGTAGTTCATCTGTACAGTTGAGAACATTATTAACTTTTACTATACTCAAAATGATACATTAAGATTATAAGTTACATCAATACTTCATAAAGAAGGTAATCAGCTACATAATTTGTATCCTCTCTCTGTAATAGTGTGCTTCATAACAAGTTCCTAGACAGGAAGAATAATACTAGCAACCCATATACAGAAATCAAAGTAAAGTAACACCTGGGGCTATGATAAATGGTTGGAGGACAATAGATTCACTTTTTCAAATTCAGCCTAGGGAAAAATCAAGCTACTGAAAATTTAAATGAAAAATGGAAGCAATTTATGATTGCTTGCAGTAATTAAGTGGTGCTGATTTAAACTGTCATGACAGATTCCTTGCTGGTGCATAATCTCCAAGAGAACTCTTCCTTGTTGCAAACAGTATTTGCTGTAACAAAGGCAGAGATCTGCAGTGACAAGGGATGTCTAAGTTGAGAGGGGTCAAAAAGAACCCCTACATTCTTCTGCTGAAAAGTGCTTTTTAGCAGATGGACTCTTTCCTTCTTGTCATAATGGTAAGGTACTTCTGTTCTATATTGTGCAGATGTTATCTCAAGTCCTGCACAGGAAACATAACAAATTAATACATGTGCTGCAGAGGGAAAAGCTTGGTTCCAAATGGCAATTCATTAGAGACCAAGTTGCCTGCTGAGCCTTAGTAGCCTATATATTGCCATACTGTCAGCTTAGTTGAAAAGAAGGTTAACACCTTTGAAATGACACCCAGTAATGAAAACTGAATGGAATTTGTATTCCAATTCAACTGGAGAATATAGATCTTAATGCTATTTTCAATAAAAAATTGCTGCTAGAATTAGAAGTGAAATGGTTAATTGGCTGTTCATAGCTAAGTACATGGCCTTGTTAGTCTCACTGCTTCTCACTTGCATTAAATGTCTTGTGCCTTGAAGAACTAGATTTAAAAAAAGAGATAAAATTAGTTAAACAGCATCTACCAAAGTATAATCACATTTTCTTTATTATAGATATAGTTTTACTGGTTAAGGGCTTAGTCTGGCAAGCCTTACTTGTGTGAGTAATCCTGATGAAGCAAGTAATATTAAGAAAATCAGAATTACTTGTGTGAATAGAAGCTGAACTGGGCTGTAAAATACAGAAACAGTGGTTCATACATAGGTCAGCCAATTCAGCTGTACCTAGAAATATGGGACTACAGCAAACCAAAAACCTAGAATTACAAGTGCTGATGCTATAATGGATTGTTGGCAAATGTGTCAGAAAGCAAGTAAACCAAGCCATCAATCTTGCCTGAATGAACTGAAGATCAAAAAAGTTTTAGATGATGACCTGGGTGCCAAAAATAGTTAGAGTTCATAATCATTTTAAAATACTACTGTTAAATTCCCCAAATTAGCATGCAACTCTTACATAAATTTGAGAACAGGAACATGTCCAAAGCACAAGCAGGCTACAGAAAGCATGATTGAAACTTAGAATGTCTTGAAAAGTTAAAGAACAGCTAATTAAGGGCATAGAAGATCTTATAGGTTGTATTACTAGTGGTTTTGGCAGTCCTGGGGTAATGGTTGGACTTGATGATCTTAAAGGTCTTTTCCAACCTAGTGGATTCTGTGATTCTTTATATATCCCATATTATAAAGGGGATTACATAGAGAGTATATTATCAATGTCCTGCAAGTTTTCAAACAATCTTCTGGATTTAATTTTTTTTTCCAGACTGGTGTTTGCTACAGGCTGGATTTTCCCTCCCACCCCACCCCCCAACTTTCTTTTCATTCCTTAGTTAAATTTTACCTAAAAGAACACAACAGTTTCTGAGAACAAAGCCATGGGGTTATTTTTGGCGTGTCTGTTAGGAAAAATAAAAGAGCCCTAGACTTCCCTTTCTCAGATGACGTGTCTTTGAACTAGGGACCTTTAAATTTGGCAGGTGAAGCAGCTGATGAAGGGCATTTGTGTTGCTGTTCCTACAGCAATTTGTCCCTGACAAATTTGTCCAGCTTATAGACTTTGAAGAAATATAGCCATTCATATGTTCTTAAGTGGAGCAATAAATTCTCCCATTATTCATGCTCTGCATATACAGCAGCTTTCCATGCTGGGATCAAGCACAGAAACTGAAACAGAGAACCAACATCATCTATGCCAGGAAGTAGCTAGACAGGGAAGAGGAAACAGACAAAAAGATAATTCAGAATTGTGGAAAAGAACCCCACTGCATTTGGGCTGGGAATCCTACATGGCAAGGAAAGGAACTGGCGTGGAATGAAATCTGGCAAAGATAAGCAACAGAAGTGGAGAAGAGACAGGAATAAGCACTAACAGGATTGTTCAACTTGTTGATGATCAGTAGCACTCTGATCTGTCCTCCTGTGGAACAAGAAGCATCCCAAGTCTATTCCTCTGTCTGAAACCTCTTTGAAACCTGCTACCAAATGATCCATCAGTTTTGCCAAGTCTGTTCCTATCTCCAGGTGATAGGCTGCCATCTGCATTTTATAACTGTACATCATCATGCTTGATACTTCATTCATACAATTTAGGAAACTATAAAGTGCTAATGACATGGAGATGTTTTTACCCTCCACTGCAACCAACAATCTCAGATTAGTTCAACATTTTAGAAAATAGATCAAAAAATACTATCTATGTTTTACTTGTGTTTTAGCAATTTTCAGAGAAGCGCAGTTTATAAAGCAGGGAAGAGCAGCCAGGTGAAAATTCATCTTCTTTCTAAAGCAGCTTGATTAAATGGCACTTATATTTGAAACAGAAGCTATGAAGGAGTTCCAGCTTTACAGTTAGTTTAGGTAGTGTCTGCATCTCAGTCACCAGCTAATTTTGGACTAGTTAATCACAGGTAGCAGTAGCAGTCTAGCCACAGACACAGTGTTCACTATAGACTAAAATAGTCCATGCTGAGCTTCCCGCTGCTACCTGCAGTATGGAAATACCTAAACGATTAAAAGGTATGTTTTCTGATAGCTTTGGTTTGAAACTGTCTTATGATTGCTATTCTAGATTTTTGTCACATTTTCCTTTCCAAAAAGACTGCACTCAGGTGCAATATGATCTCATCTTTGGTTACCAATAAGAATTAAATTCACCAAATACCTTGTCTTGATCAATAATGTGCTGTCATTAAAAAAAAGGCATCATCTTTAATTGTGACTTCAAAGGATTATTGTGGCACCCAGTCATGCCTGTAATACCTCTCAGGTCTTCCTGGACTGCCCGGACTGGATGGCTTGGATGGACTAAAAGGCCAAAAAGGTTCTGCAGGAGCTCCAGGTAAAGAAGGGAAATAGTGATGTGGAACAGAAAATCTTCTCTTAAATGACCGAATGTGCAGGGAATGATGCACGTTATTTTGATACTTGCCATGCCCAGAAGATATTAAGGCTCAGACTAAACTTTCAGTCAAAATCTGAAGTATGCTTAAGGACACACCTGCAGTTATTTATGGGGAAAATTTTAAAACTTCCATTACTCATATAGCTCATTGGAAACTTTCAAGGCTGTTTATAAAATGAAAGTGTTCAGTGCAGATGATTCCAGTGAGAGCCAAGTCATCAGGGTTTTTTATATGTAAAAGATAAAACTAACAAACTAAAAGGAGACTTATGAAATCTCAGCCCCATTGAAGTCCATGAGACTTGTGTCACAGACTTAGGAGGAGCCTGGATTTTACTCATGTTGATCTGTTTGCAACTTTCAGAAGGTGCTTTTGAAGAAGCATTAAAAAACAGTGTTCACCATCTAGCTATAAATTACAAATTTGTACTGATAGAAAATCCAATCAGTTTACATTTCAAGTTACAAACAATAATGACACTATGAAAAATAACTCCTAAAGAGCATTAAAGTGAAGAGATTCCTTTCTTTGAAAGAGAAGAAGTGAGGCCAGATTCAACAAAACTATATCCAACTTCCACGAGAGACCCAGAAAAATAGCACTAGGCAACCCCTACAAGAAAGAACATCTGCAGCTAGTGTTTTCATTCTGCACATCTGTATTTGTACTCACTGTAAGCTTTATATACATAATTGTTTTCCTACAAAGGTCAAAGTGAAACAGGGCCCCCAGGATACTCAGGAGAGCTTGGACCAAAAGGACAGAGAGGTGAACCTGGATGGCCTGGTATTTCTATTCCAGGCCCTCCTGGAGAAAGAGGATTCCCAGGATTACCAGGTAAGAAAGGGTTTTCTTAGTGGTGCTCTGCAAAGTTGAAATGAAGCTTATATAGGCTTATAGGCTCTTCCCCTGGTTAGTATGAACATTAATAAATACCTAGGAGATTCCCTGCCTGAAAACATTCCTGTTGTAATAACACGCTGATGTTTCCTGAGTAGATACAGAGACCCCAGTATTTGTTGTTTATTATGTTACAGGAGAGGAAAGA